CCGTGGGCCGATGGGCCAAGCCCAAGACTAGCCCAGAGCCGGGGGCTGGCCTGGGTTTGCTGAATGAATGAGTGACCGGGAGGCATGAGTAGAAGCACAAAATCAGTCCTGGCACTGGGCCATCACATGGGGTGGTAGCCCCCAAGGCTCAGTCAGGGCCTGGGAGGGAAACAGATGGAGAGGGCAGGGTGGGCCGGGAGAGAAGGGGCACAAGGCCCCGGGTGGCTCATTTATCCAGGCTTTATGGTTGGGCCGGCCCTCTGCAGGGTTAGGGGCCTGGAGGTGCAGCAGCTGAGGCTTCTGCCCTTGACCCAGCTGGTACTCTCTCAGGGACTCAGTTTCCACACCTGCCCAGCACTGGCATTTGGTGTTTGTGCAGGTGACTGGGGCTTGGGCAGCTCCAAGGTAGCACCCCTCTGCCTGGATGGGAAGTGGTCCCTGGGGCCCAGACCCAGATGCCTGCCTGGGCTCAAGAGGCACAGCCTTCCCCCAGCCCCCTCAGGCCTCAAGCCCACTCCCAGGGCTTTCTCCAGGACATCTAGGCCCCGGCTGTTCATCCCGTGCCTCCGGTGAAGGAGGCCTCAGGGAATGAGGGGCACAGTCATCTCCTGCTTACAGAGTCTGGGCCTCAGTGTCCCCATCTGTAAAATGGGATGACAGTGTGATAAAACCTAGGGCACTTTGGTACAGTCTCTCACTGAACACTCATGCCAACCCTGGAGGGAGGGGCCATCACTGACCTTGCACAGATGAGGAAACTGAGGCACAGAGAGATGAAGTGGTGCAGCAAAGGGGTGAAGGAGCTGGGGGAGGGGACTTGGGTCTCGCTGGGCTGGGTCTGCTCTGTCACCAGGAGCCTGGGAAGAACAGGGCAGGCTGAGGGCTGTGCAGGCCTCACAACCCCCACATGGCTGAGAGCCTGGCTTTGCCTCCAGGAGCTTCGGTCCCTGCTCCTGCTAGATGGCTCTTAGCTTCTGCTCGCCTCTGACTGCGAGACCTTGGACAAGTTGCTAAATCACTCTGGCCTTCAGTCTTTCATTCCCCAGGCCACCATTCAGCCTATGTCAGTCCTCCCCACAACTCTGAAGCCAGTTCTGAGGCTCAGAGAGGTTAAGTGACTTGCCCAAAGCCACTATCGAGCTTGTGGGCAGGATTTCTGGGAAGAGAAACCCCAAAAGGGGTGTGTACAGGCCAGACCCACCAGACAGTGGAAGAGGTGGAGGGGCAGGCCCAGGGCCAGTCAGGGTCTCCTGCCCTCTGGTGGGGCACAGCTGCCCCCTCTCCCCCAGGCCATAGACCTCCTCGATTTCCTGTAAATAATTAATTAGCCCCTGCTTGCTTGTTTGTTTAGCATGAGGAATGCTCCCCCACTGAGATGCATTTATTGCTGAATAAATTTAAATATCTAATCTTTCCTTCATGAATATTACAGCACCCTAAATAGCGGCCAACATATCCTAAGCGCCTTGGCAAATGGCCCCCACAGGAGCCTGCCTGCCTGGCTGTGAGGCTGCCTGGCTGCCGCCCTGCTCTCTCCCGGTGCCCTTCCTGCTCCTGAGCCAGCCCTTCCTGACCTGGGCCTGTGATGAAGGGGCTGTGAGCTGAAGCCCCGAAGGCTGTGTGGGGTGTGGAGGCCACTATCTGGGGGTCGTGCCTGGGACCAGGCAGAGGGTCAGGGCTGGAGCAGAGAGGGCAGCCAGGTTCCCAGGCGGCGGCGGCATCTGAGGAGCTCGGGAAGCCGGCAGGGGAGGGAGGCGGGGGACAGGGGCAGAGGGTCTCCAAGGCAGCCTCGCCGGGTGGACGCAGCTGGATTAGTCAAGACCTCGGCAACCAGAGCTCCCCAAGCAGTCCCTCTGTTGGGGAGGGGGAGTGTTGATGTGAGGAGGGGGACAAGAGCCAGGCTGCAGGGGCTGGCAGTGAGGAGGGACGCTGACACAGCAGGTATAGTGTCTTCCCAGAGTGGGTGAGGGGAGAGGCAGAGCCAGCCAGCCAGGGCAGAAGGGGGTGGGGCGGGGAGAGACAGGCCCTTTCAGCGCCCCAGAGGAAGCAGAATGGCACCTCTGTGTGACCTTAGGCAAGTCTCTCACCTTCTCTGTGCCTCAATTTCTCCTCTAAAGCAGGAAAGATAGTAGCGCCTCCTAGGGTGGCTGTGAGGATGGAACAAGAGGGTGGATGTAAACCGCTCAGCACCTGGCAGTTACTCAGTAAGAGGCAGAAATGAAGGGGCCAGATCCGGGAGCTGAGCGGTAGAGGAGGTAGGGAGGGCCCAGGGCAAGGCTTCTGGAGGAAGCAGGGCCCAGCCTTGACCTGCTGGAAGAATCTGAAGCTGGCCCCACTACCCACGTGGGTCAGCCTCCCCAGGACAGACCCGTTTTCTGCGGGTCGGGGTGGGTGGAGGTGAAATTGGAGGTTTGAGGTTTGTTTGGATGTGGCTGAGGGGCCCAGGGACAGGACTGAGGGGTCAACTGGCATGAACTGGGGACATCTCCTCCCACCAGGCAGCCCCAGGGGCCAGGCGCCAGAGCTTTTCCAGGTGCCCCAGGGTCAGGTAGGGAGGGGCGGGAACTCTTTCTTCAATGGAGCCCCAGGAAACCTCCTGCTTTCCGCCTCCAGGGCTTAGCTAAGCCTAACACAAGTCAAGGACCAGGGCCTGGGGTCAGAGCCTCTGGCTAAGACAGCAGGGGTCCTCTCTGGCACTCAGAGGTGGGAGGACAACAGGCCGGTGTGTGGACATGGAGGGGGCAGGAGGGGCCAGTCTGTGCTCTGGCCCAGGGGTGGTGCCCAGGGCCCACCCCTGGTCTCTGCTTTGAGGGAACTGCTCACCTGGGCACCTGCACAGCAGTCACAGGGTCTGACCCTGTCCTGGACAATGCTGCTGGGAGGCTCCAGCCCCAGCCTCTGCTCGCTCCAGCTCCTCCCACCTCATGCCCCCAGGTCAGTCCCAAAGGCCTGGCTGCAGGCCTGTCCACTCCAGGAAACATTAAATCCCTGCAACACAGAGCTCAGTGAGCTCCACTTCCGCACACCACCCCCTCCCCCCAGCAGCAGGCCAAGGTCACCTGCAGGGTGGACAGCACAGGGAGATGGCAGGCAGCTGGGTGCCGAGTGGCTGACACCATTGGGCAGGCCAGGGATGTCCCAGGAGAGCTGGCTCGACACATCCCTGTGCTCACCCCCATGCGCCCTGAATACTCTGAGCAGGCCTTGCCTGGATGCCCGTTTCCCAATGCACTCTCAGGTGCACACGCACCAAACACATGCCCAGACTGTCACTATCCTGATAAAATAACAGCCAACACGCACATCGCCTCACTCGTGCCAGGCACTGGCTTAAACACTGTACATGAATTAACTCACCTTCCAGTAACCCTGGGAGGTGGCTGTCTACTCTTTACAGATGGGGCAACTGAGGTCCAGAGAGGAGGTAGCCTGTGTCACACATGTGGGACTGGAGAGGCTGGGATTTTCACCCAGAGGCCCAGCTCCTGCTGTTGCACACCGTGCTGAGTGGGCACCTGGCACCTCCACCCAGAGCAGACACACGGACCGGGATGCTGCACACTCCTGGCTATGCACCATCCTTGCAGCTCCTGGACACTCCTCTCCTCCCATGGGCTTCAGCTGCCCTTATCCCCACACAGGAGAGGAGGGGGTGAGGACCCAGTCCCAAAGCCCCTCCAGGGTTCCCCAGCTCCTCTTCCCCATTCACCCCCACTTATGGGATGCTCCGGAAAATCTCCTAGTACCAGCTCAGCATGAAGTCGCAAAATTAAGTTTCATTGGGATCCCCAGGGTACAAAAGAAAGAGGGGGGTGATCCAGCTCGTGGCCCTGGACCTGTGCTTGATGGGGCTGTGATGGAGGAGAAAGGGCCTCAGTACGTGCATCTCTAAAATGGAGACATGGTGGTCCTTTCTGCTGCCCAGCATTGTGCACACCCAGCAGTTGGTGCCCACAGAGCTTCTGGTACAGGCCTGGGGAGCAGTGGGAGCTGGGGAGCTGCCAGAGGTGGATACTGTTCTCCCTGCCAGGATGCCAACTCCAACTCGGAGGAGGAGGTCACTGTCCCAGTTTTCCAGATGAAGCAGTGGACACTCAGAGAGGGGAAAGGACTTGCCAACGTGCCCACTGGCACAGGAAGTGAGGGGCAAGCCTGGACTTGGCCCTGGCCTGCCTGAGGCTGAGCCTCTCCTCTCCCGCAGGGTCCTCTCAGGCCCAGGCACCAGGGAGAGGTGAAGCTGAAGGAGCGGCTCCTCTGAGCCTCCCGAGTTGTTTACCTGGGCTCAGGTCTCCAGAGTCTCTGGCCAGGCCCCAGAGCCGCCTTTGTTCTCAGTTTAACAAGCCCAGGCCACCTGCAATTAGTTCGATGCGCTAATGAGAAGGCTCATTATTGAGCAGGGTGTGCGCCAGGAGGTGCTGGAAGACCAGGCTCAAGGCCCCGGACTTATCTGCCACTTGTATCGAGGTGGCCTCAGTGTCCTCATCCGTAAAGTGGATCCTAGAGCTTGCGGGGCCGAGGAGCCTCGCCTGGGGAGGTCGACCCTGGGGTCGGGTGCGCGGTGCCGGCTGCCGCACCTGAGCGGAGCCCAGAGGAAGAACTTACCCCTGGCCGGGCGCGCGTAGCTGTTTGGCGGTCTGGACCCCACCTCTCCGAGCCGCCCACGTCGGGGGAGGCCCCTGCCCGCCGGCGGCCCGCCGGCACCCTGGCTACTCTGCCCGGAAAGAGCAGGTGGGCAGGGCGCGCCCCCTGCCGGCCGTACTGCGCCGCTTCCTCCGGGGCCGTGGCGGTGCCTCTCTGAGACTTGATTTCTCCTGATGGGAAACAATGGGGAGCGGGGGTGACGAGAGCAGCTGGAGGCCTTGGGAGAAAGGCGCGAGGCCAGGTGAATCCCAGCACAATCGAGGGGACTGGGACCATTCAGTTGTGGGCCTCAGGCTTCTCTGTGAAACGGGCTCGGGTGGGACGGAAGGAGCCCACGACTCACTGGCCCTCTCCTGCAGTGGACGGCTGCATTCACCGGGCCGCCGGGCCCCTGCTCACCGACGAGTGCCGCACCCTGCAGAACTGCGAAACCGGCAAGGCCAAGATCACCGGGGGCTATCGGCTGCCGGCCAAGTGTGAGTCCCGCCACCCCCAGCTATGGGAGCCTCGTGTCATGGTGCGGCCCCCACAGAATTGCTGGAGGCCTCCTCAGGGGCACTTCTTAGCCCTAAGTGCTGGAGCCTGCCCCTCCTCGCACACCCTAGGAGCGCGTAGAGGCTGGAGTGGGACAAGGACCTGAAAGGGAGGGGGGAAGAGCTAAGGGGCGGGACCTTCACGCACCCAGTCGCGCCCGTCTCAGCCGGGTGCACCCAGATGTGGGGAGCGGGCCTGCCTTGTCTATCAGGTGTGGATTAGGGCTCCAGAGCGCGCCTGTGCCTGCATGGGTGAGGTCCTCCCCTGGAGAGTCAAGGAACTTGGAGGAGGGAAGAGCGCCCGTTTCCTGTCCCCTCCCGGCGCAGGCTGGCGGGGGCAGAAGGGAGGACCGCAGGGAGACCCTAGCCCGCCTGACGCGGTCACCTCCCGCAGATGTCATCCACACGGTGGGGCCCATCGCCCACGGAGAGCCCAGCGCCAACCAGGCTGCTGAGCTCCGCAGCTGCTACCTGAGCAGCCTCGACCTGCTGCTGGAGCATCGGCTCC